GCTACACACTAAGACTATTGTTAGAGCCAGACCTCTTAAGGCTGGTGCTTCAAAACAAGTAAGCATACACTTACTAGCGTCTGCTGTTTTAATGTTCTATTCTAGCAGTTGCACTCCTTATAGACTAAACAATCGAACGTAAGCTGAGTCGTGACTATAAATAATTAACACGTCCTTTATTTATGTCACGATATGTCGCAATTAGTGATGCATGTACGCATTATAGTAGTAACCAAAATCGTACCGATAAAGCAACCTCCAGCATTTTCTTGTGATGGCGTAGTTGGGGACTCTGAGTACTGAATTGACATAATATAGCCTGCGAAACGCAACAAGAATGTAATACAACAATGGTTAGGAATTACTGTGACCTGGCCTAGTCTTTAGCTGTGATGCTTTCTGTGCTGTGTCGTATCCTTGACTGCATCTGGGATGTTAGACCTCTGCCAGACACTAATTCCGCGTAATCACCACGATGGACAGAAGTGTGGCCCCAAAAACGGTTTCATCTTTTCATTTCCGCACACATCTAACCGCCTTTGGGTTAATTTATTATGATGTCAGACGCTAAAAGTTTGTCGTAGTAGGCCGTTTGTGTTCTAATTGTTTGACCAACGTATTGTGTATTAGGATTGCGGACTATTTACAAAAATGCGCTTGGAGATTATCATGCTTTTTTCTAGTTCCATGCTAACGGGAAAACGTGGGGCGGAGGGTACGTTGCGTCTAATTAGGCATAGTTTCTCTTCTGCAGGCAAATATGCTCAAGTCATCTGGACCATTGGGAATTGCAGACCTTGGTAGCAGCCAGATTATTCCATTCTTTAAGAGTTCTATTTAATTGACATGCTGAACTACTACGCAGACCAAGCGCTTCAAGAGCAGCATGCCAGCCTGCCCAGCTTGCTTGGCCTTTTCAAAATGCCGTACGCTTCCATCCCAACTGTGGCAGATCCACACCCTCTTTTCATCGTCTGTCGGATTCAGTCCTTCTTTTGCAACTTTACTTACTCTACTAGGCCTCAGCACACTAAACGACCTGATACAACCGTTTTGTGCAAAATAAATCCAGCGAACAAGTGTCTGAAGACTGCCTATCGTGTTGAGACTTGTTTGTCTACATAAACATAGGAGACCCCCAAGCAGGTGCTAGAACATACTTTGAGCTAGCCGAGTAAAATCTTACAGTATTACTGTGGTTTGCGCGAAGCCGATCATCTTGCCATAAGGCCACCATTTTCACAATCCTAGTTGCTCTGAAGTCGTTTATTTAGTCCTTGGCGTCTGCGTAGTTTCCCTTCCTGACTAGCAGCTCTAGTAGGTTCTCAACTCGGGTTTCTTAGTGAGCCGCTGCGACAATGTGCCACTCAACTGACGATAAATCAGCGTGCATAGAAACTGAAGTTCATTAGCAAGTACCTAAGACCCTGTTATCCTCTGTCACTCATTTATCCTGTTTGCCTTGTAGTATCCTGGCCCTGGAGAAGTTGGGTGCCGTCTTCAATCAGACCAGTGCAGCCCTGCAGTACACGCCGCGCAAGTTCGTCTTTCACCCAGAGTCTAACAATGCCTTCATTATTGAGACCGACCACAACGCCTACACGGACGACCTAAAGGCCGAGCGACGAAAAGAAATGGCGGAGGTGAGTACGGCATAGCACGTCTTGCAAATGTGGGAAGGGGGAGGGGAGGGGAGAGTAGTGCACACTACCTATCCCCTCGTTTGTTAGCCTGGATTAGTCAAGACGACGAGGCAGTGTCGGAACTGGTAGCTTGTGATCGGGTTATATTCGTGTAACAAAAAACTACCTTGAAAACACTCCTTTAAAAGGCACGAAATCAACAAATGTTCGGCTGAATTTCGTATAAGCACCGAGTACCAGCGTTTTAAGAAGCGAATTCCATGTTTATTTGTACAACTTGCTTACAGGGAAGTTGATACTTTAGGTGTACAGTAAAGATGTACACATTTCCTTGGATTGTTGATGGACTTTTTAAATTATCAATTCACTATCACAAAAACCAGACCTTTTAAGTCTTCCCTCATTCAAGCCTCATCCAGCTTATCGGATCCTCCAGAAAATATTTTAAAATACCTTATGGTTGTGCTCACTTGTAGGGTATTAGTCGATTTTATTAACTACTTTATGCCAAATTTCAGGTTGTTAAATTAAGAAATAAGAATTGAGATCGGTCACATCATGTGTTAGGATTCTCATTTCCGTGATTGTTTGTACTAGAGCAGTACAATATCGTATGTTAGCACGAACTCATCCGTTTACCCTGTAATCCTCACGAATGTACATTATAAATCCTTAAATCATTAAAAAAATCCAATTCAGGTAAGCTTCCACAACCTAATAAGCATATTTTAGGTGGCATATGTTGCGCACAAGATAATATTCTATTCTTTAATGTACGGGCAACCTCTTGTTAAAGAAGTGACTTAAGTCCGGTCGTCAGTTATTCGACTTCGCTTTTTTTGCGCTCGGACGGTGAAGTGAAACGCACTGACCGGTGTAATCACATCCAGCCTCCCAGACCGGACGTCATGCGGAACAACTGTTTGGGTGAATACTTTATTGAGAGCTTGATTACGCGTATTAAACCCGCGGTTTCCAGCTTAACTCCTTGACACCTTGTTGGAGACCTCTTACTTGTATTTGTTACGGCTGTGATCATGCCCGATCTAGCCGGCTTCAATGATGTCACAGACGGTACCTCTCCATGCGTGACGATTGGCGGCAGTGGATCTGGAGAGCTCCA